GAATTTGGAGGCGGTGCAGCCGCAGGATCAAGCTCATCCGTGTACGGAAGCACCGCCAGCGGAACGGTGAGCTGCATCGCCGGTTCGTTGGCTGGTATCGCCGGTAGCTTCAACAATACAGGACGCACGAACTTCACGAATAAACAGCTCACCGAACTGGAGAAAGAATTTCACTTCAACAAGTACCTGACGCGAGCGAGGCGTATCGAGATCGCTTCCACGCTGCAGCTTAACGAGACGCAGGTGAAGATCTGGTTTCAGAACAGACGAATGAAGCAAAAGAAGCGTATGAAGGAAGGTCTAATACCGGCGGATAGCACAAACGTGACGCCTCTGAGCGGTGCTAGGAGCAGCAGTAATTCTCCGACGGGCTCGTCCAGTCACGAAATCGGCGGTCTCGGTTTATCCAGCTTCTCTAGTGACAACAGAAGAGAATCACCCCCATCTTCCAAAGATTGACGCGACTTTTGCTGCAGTAACGAACGGCACTATGGTCTATGATTCGATGATTTGGTAAAGCTCGGTTACTATCAGAGCTAAAAGTTTAAAAAGAATCATGACAATTACTGCAGCCACGAGTCATTTTTTAATTCACTATTTCAGGCTGCATCATGAGAACATAATACGGCGAAAAAGTTAGGATAAGTAATGCCATTCTGTATCCTGAAAGTAGAGGTATGTGATATATATGTGTATATACGGGATACATCTATCTTCCCGTCTCTAAACTATAGAATAAATATGACATTGATTGTAATTCCATCATAATTGTACGGTTCATCCGGATTCAAAAGTGGCGAATAAAAATTAAGGCCACAAAAAAGGTATCAATACGGTTTTATATTATAATATTGCATTTTCCGGATCGTCTCTTTGTCCCGATTTTTATTTCTTTTAATTAGCGCATTAAAGATGATAGATTGTACATTAATTTCAAATATTATTTATTTTACGTATATATATATATACATCTTAGTTTCTAATGCGCATTATAAAATTGTATAAGTTTAAATTCTATCTTTCTCTTTCCACACAGCCTACATTCACTTAAAAGTTACCATGTACCTCAGTTTATAGCGATATTTATAGATGTGTAAATGTAAATGCTGAAGATCGCGCACGCGCGAATTGATATATTTCTGATTAATATATAATTTTTTAGGAACTTCTCTTTGAATATTATTCTTCCGACATTAACAAATATAACGGTTATATTCGAAATTAATGAACTGTTTCCAAATGTTAATTTTATCGATAACTTAATGTTTAATTTTCTCTATTACTTTTTCGATTGTACGACATTTTAATTCACTGTATAATTGTAAATGAATTTCTAATTCAACTATGCGAAATGAATAAAATGATATTAAATCATGTCACATTTTCGTGTTAAAAGTAACATGATTGATTGAGAATTCTGTCACTTGCTTATTTCTTAATCCTTCCAGTACCTTATAATCAATAAATTGTATTGTGTTTAATGATTTCTTTTAAAAAACCATCTTACATTTTACCTTTTTTATGTATCAATTTAAAATATATAATAATAATAAATATATATTATTAAAAAAACAATTTA